AATATTACCACCTGCACCATTACTTGTAAGGTAGATTTTGTGTGCAATTTCAAACTTATTTTACCGAATCCTACTTACAGTGGACCCCCGCATAACGATTACCTCCGAATGTGACCAATTATGTAAGTGTATTTATGTAAGTGCGTTTGTACGTGTATGTTTGGGGGTCTGAAATGGACTAATCTACTTCACAATATTTCTTATGGGAACAAATTCGGTCAGTACTGGCACCTGATCATACTTCTGGAGTGAAAAAATATCGTTAACCGGGGGTCCACTGTACTTGTATTAAGTTTAAATAAGATTGTAAAACAGCTCACCACTATTACTTGTCCAGTTTTAAGTATAGTTACTATGTACTATTATCTCATCTAGTTTTAATAATTTACAAAGTACAGTGGACTCCCGCTTTTCATCTGCATCGACTTTCATGAAATCCACCTTTCGGCAAGTTTTTTCGGCAAAATTTAGCTTCACGGTTCATGATTGGACTCGTGATTTGGTGACCATCTGCTATGCGTCCGTCCGTCACCGTGCACACAAAGCCAGTCTCACGCACCTTTCACACTCAGTGTGCCATTGTTTACCAGTGCATGACCATCATCCTGCGGGTGTTTACAACTGCTAAATAAGTCAGCATGGGCCCAAGGAAAGATAGTGCAAGCCCATTGGTAAAGAAAGTGAGGAACACGATCGAATTCAAGAAGGAAATCATTGAAAAACATGAGAGCAGAGTGCGTGTTACAGAACTTGCCAGGATGTATGGCAAACCCCATTCAACCATCACTTCGATCGTGGCGAAGGAAAAGGAAATAAAGTGTGCTGTTGTTGCAAAAGGGGTAGATATGCTGACAAAAAAGAGATCGCAAATCCTCAAAGAAGGGGAAAGGTTATTGTTGGTGTGGATTACCCAAAAACAATTAGCAGGAGATAGTATTATGCAGTCAATAATATGTGAAAAGGCAAGGCAGTTGCATGACGATCTCGTAAAGAAAATGCCTGCAACGAATGGTGATGCTTGTGATTTAAAGGCCAGCAAAGGTTAGTTTGAGAGATTTAAGAAGTGTAGTGGCATTCACAGTGTGATAAGGCATGGTGAGGCTGCCAGTTCTGACAAAAAGCAGCTGAGAAGTTTGTACAGGAGTTTAAGGAGTGCGTAGACACTGGAGAATTCAAACCCCAACAGGTTTCCAATTGTGACGAAGCAGGCCTCTCTTGGAAGAAAATGCCAAAGAGGACCTAAATCACACAGGAGGAAATGGCACTCCCAGGACACAGGCCTATAAAGGATAGGCTTACTCTCATGTTTTGTAGTAATGCTAGTGGAGATTTTAAACTGAAGCCTTTACTGGTGTATCACTCTGAAAATCCCAGAGTGTTCAAGAAAAACAGTGTCGCCAAGAGTAATTTGTGTGTGATGGGGAAGGCTAACAATAAGCCATGGGTCACAAGGGGAATTTTTCTAGACTGGTTTAACCCTTTCAGGGTTTTGGCCGTACTAGTACGGCTTACGCACCAGGGTTTTTGACGTACTAGTACGCCTAAATTCTAGCGCCCTCAAATCTAATGAGAGAAAGCTGGTAGGCCTACATATGAAAGAATGGGTCTATGTGGTCAGTGTGCGTGGTATAAAAAAAATCCTGCAGCACACAGTGCGTAATAAGAAAAAAAAACTTTGACCGTGTTTTTGGATTAGAACAGCGACTTTGCACTGTATTTTCGCATGGTATTTATTGTTGTATTCTAGTTTTCCTGGTCTCATTTTATAGAATGGAAGACATATTACAGAAATTGAGATGATTTTGATTGGTTTTACAATGAAAAGTGCCTTGAAATTGAGCTCAAAGTAGCAGAAATGTTCGATTTTTACCAAAGTTCAAAAGTAAACAAATAATGCCATACGTTCAATACACGTCAACTGGTGAGTCTAATATTCTTTCACAAGTGCACTGATATTATTTATACCATTTCTACACTAATGCAGTAGTCTGCATAACAGTAAATCTTTTATTTTTTGTGAGAATAAAAATTCAAAGTGGAAAGCAAAAGAATGTTAGAGGGGCGTGGGGACGTGACTAATGAACAGAGGAAATGTTATTTTAGTGCCAGAAATGTCTTTCTTGTTTATTCTGGATCCTATTTGGAAATTGGCATCTTTTGAAATTTGTGTGAAATTGGCAAAATTGCTAAATTCTGACCACTGTATTGGATAGTTGAAATTGGTAAATGGGTGGTTTCTTGTACTCATTCGATAGACAAAATGGAGTTACAGTGAAATAGTTATGATTTTTGTCGACTAGTACACTGGAATTGGCCGAAAATAGGGCTCAAAGTGGGCAAAATCGCCGATGTGTAAACATCGTCGAGACCGCTAAATTCGCAAGAGCATAATTTCGTAAATTTTCCATCAAATTTCATACTTTTGGTGTCATTATGATTGGGAAAAGATTCACTATCTTTTCATAAGATTTTTTTTTTTTTTTTTTTTTTATGGAATTTGGGCGACCCTGAGAATTAGTCTCTGAGAGGGCCTGTCGACCCTGAAAGGGTTAATGAAGTGTTTGGTCCCAGTGTGAAGAAATACCTCCTGGAAAATAAATTGCCACTCAAGTTCCTCCTGGTAATGGACAGTGCTCCTGCTCATCTTCCAGACTTGGAAGAGCAAATAGTGGAGGAGTTTAATTTTATCACGGTGAAGTTCTTGCCCCCCAATACAACTCTTCTCATCCAGCCCATGGACCAGCAGGTCATTCAACTTCAAAAAACTGTACACCAAAGCAGTGTTTCAACAGTGCTTTGAAATGACTTCAGACACTGAATTGACCCTAAGAGAGTTCTGGGAAGAGAGAGTTCTGGAAAGAGAGTGTTCTGGAAAGAGAGAGTTCTGGAAAGATCACTTCAATATCCTCACTTGCATAAACCTTATAGGTAAGGCTTGGGAAGGAATGACTTCCAGAACTTTGAATTCTGCTTGGAGAAAATTGTGGCCACAATGTGTACAAGAGAGGGATTTTGAAGGGTTTGGGGCTGACCCTAAGGAGCCTATGCCAGTTGTGGAATCTATTGTGGCATTGAGGAAGTCCATGGGGTTGGAGGTTAGTGGGGAGGATGTGGAAGAGTTGGTGGAGGACCATGATGAAGAGCTAACCACTGCAGAGCTGCAAGAGCTTAATCTGCAACAGCAAGAGATTACAGCTCAGGAAATTGCTGCAGAGGAGGAGGAAGGGAGATGGAGGAAGGTGCCTTCTTCAAAGATTAAGGACATTTGTGCAAAGTGGACTGAAGTGCAAACATTTATGGATGAACTTCACCCTGACAAAGCTGTTGTAGGCCGTATTGCCAACATGTACAGTGACAGTGTTGTGTCCCACTTCAGACAAATCTTAAAGAAACGCCAGAAACAGAGCTCTCTGGACAGATATTTTGTGCGACAGGGGTCCAGTGACTCTCAAGTTGTTCCCAGTGTCTTTAAAAAAACAAAGAAGGGAAGTAACCCCAGATAAGGACTTGGTACCTGAAGTCCTAATGGAAGGAGATTCTCCTTCCAAACAATAGTGTACACTTTCCTCCTATCCCCTCCTCCCATCTTCCATCCACCCAGAAGTCTTCAGTAAAGGTAATTGTAATGTTATTATTATTTTATATATGTATGTACTTGATTTCTCATTGTTTTCAGTATGTAAATCTTTATTTAATTTGAAAATAAATATTTTATTTTAATATTTTTGGGTGTTTGGAACGGATTAATTTTATTTCCATCATTTCTTATGGGGAAAATAGTTTCGCCATTCGGCAATTTCATCATTCAGCAGACTCTCTGGAATGGATTAATCACGAAACTCGGGGGTCCACTGTATTAGGATTAGTTTGCCTGAAATGCCTCGGCATGATAACGGCTATCTTTGTACTTAGTAAATCACAATTGTAATTACACATTGTAACCTTTACTAAATGCTGATCTGCAGTTACAGCCGTTGCAATAATGTAAACAAATTACAGTATTTAAAATAATTTTATCTTTCTTAATTTTTAATTGAGTGCATTCATTCTTTGTGCATATTCATTTTTTTTTTTTTTCACATATCTGCCGTTTCCCACCAAGGCAGGGTGTTCATTTTATGCTTGTATAAAGAGCTGACATATGCTTTTTAGAGGTTAGTCAAGACTGAACTATAAATATGTTTCCTCAGTTTTTTTTTCAGTTGCATTCATATTGCATTGCATTCTGCATGTTTTTTATTCGTGTATGTAAAGTTCATTTTTTTTGGCGGAGATTTGTTAAGAAATGCATATCAGATAATTACATTGTTTAGTTTAACTGTGGCAGCCATTGCTCCTGCCTATGCACAATACAGGTCAGTGATTGAGGTGTGGGATAGCAAGAGCACTGCTTACTCACACCAGACCCTAAGCTGCACAGTTACCCTCATTCATCCCTTCCCACACCATACACCCAGGCATTAAATTTATACACTTATCATTGCAGTGAAAGAATGGTGAGCATAGACTTGTATTAGATACATTGGGAGTGAGAGTGGGAGGGAGAGACAGTCCAGCTTCTACTACTGCATTCCTCTCACATCACACTCTTCACCACAATATTAAGAGTGTGAACATATGTAAAGAGCTTTGTATTAGATATGATGTGGGAGTGAGTAAATGAGTGGAAGAGAGAAAATAAGGAATGGGAGAGGGTTAGGTAATGCAATGGGAGAGGGAGCAGGAATTGAAAGAGGAAGAAAAGAGAGAGAGAGATATGGATTCCTCTGAATATTCTTCTGCACATTTTTTATCTCATTGTTAAACAAATCAGTGAAATTGTATACATAATATTATGGCTTAGGAGCACATTTCCTTTTATAATATAGGTGTCTACTGTTTGAGAAATTAAGTAATGAGTTCCAAATGCCCTCGTAACAAATAATTTTCAAGAATGTGTTTATAAGTTGAGGCACTACAGTATGCTTAAATTTTAATGGATTCTTTATCTTTATCATTAGGTATGGTGTAGCAGCTAGTCAAGAGGATAAATTATGTGCTGCCCTAAAGAAAATAGTGCCAGATTTTGTCAAGGACTCGGCAATATGGCTGCCATCTGACACTGCGATGGTAAAGCTGAATCTATTTGCTAATTATTTCTATCACTTGCATATGCAAAATTTTGTTCAGTATCCTTATTCATGCGCATATACTTTTACAAAATATCATTACTAATGCTAAGACATTTTGCTTCATTATAAAAGTCACTGCTTGATATCTTCTCAGTATTTAGGTGAAACTAACTTTAACCTCAAGTTAATGAACTTTTTATTTTGCATTATCATTTACTTATAAATAAAATTGTATACTAATAGCTTTTGAATTTTATCATGAAGAGGGTAAATGGTTCTATAAAAAGGTGGAAAGGAAAATATCTGGAAGCACTTAATACTGTAACATAAATGAGGCAAGTGTGAATCCTTTCATGTATTCTTGTGCCTCAAAACAAAAACAACTAAAACTACCTAATAGGAATGATACACATTTAACAGAAGAAAGTACAGTAAACTTTCATAAGTTACACAGTCATAGTTTGCATTTTCAGTATTCTGCTGTTGAAATTTACTTTTTCATTTCCAATAGTAGCATGCCATTACTATTAGTGGCGTGCATTACCGTTTTAAAGAGTTCATCCACCCGCCGTTTGGCAAGGCATTTGTGTTGGTGTAGGAGAGACCTAACATCATTAACCAGATGTAAACAAACTAGTTACTCTCTGGATACTTACCATATGATAGTCTCTCTGTGGTTTCCAATCTCTGTTATCATTCATATCATCACCTTGCTTTGTCTCTGGAGATAAAACATGGCACCCAAAAGGAATAAAGGTGATGCTGGAGATGCCAAGAAGAAAAGTAAATGTAAAACTCTTACAATTTCAAAGACAATTGTGGTTAGAGTAAAGGTGGGAGGTGGTGGTGATTATCACTGGTAGGTTACTCGTACAGTTAGTGTGACACATAATTAAACATTTTTGTGCCTCGAGCAGTGATTTACCTAGGTTAGCTGCATTTAAATCATTGTTGAGTATGTTGGTGATTGATAATAAAGTGTGAATAGAGAAAATTGTGTTCTTCTTTCTTTCTTTCAACAAACCCGCCGTATCCCACCGAGGCAGGGTGGCCCAAAAAGAAAAACGAAAGTTTCTCTTTTTATATTTAGTAATTTATACAGGAGAAGGGGTTACTAGCCCCTTGCTCCTGCCATTTTAGTTGCCTCTTCCAACACCCATAGCTTACAAAGGAAGAATTCTGTTCCACTTCCCCTTGGGGATAAGAGGAAATAAACAAGAACAAGAACTAGTAAGAAAATAGAAGAAAACCCAGAGGGGTGTGTGTATATATGCTTGTACATGTGTGTGTAGTGTGACCTAAGTGTAAGTAGAAGTAGCAAGACGTACCTGAAACCTTGCATGTTTATGAGAGAAAAATGGACACCAGCAATCCTACCATCATGTAAAACAATTACAAGCTTTCGTTTTATACTCACTTGGCAGGACGGTAGTATCTCCCTGGGCGGTTGCTGTCTATCCCCTCCTCCCTATTAATCCATTAATGAGTGGTTTTACTGTCATCATAAATGCTGACCCCTAGAAATGGGAGGCTCCAAACAAATTTTTTCTGTATAGAAAGGATCTTTCATTTTTTGTTTAATTACAGGTTCCCCCAAGTGAGCTGGTACGTGAAGGTGTTAGAGTGTGCAGAGTGGTGCAGGACCCAGGCCAGTTTGTTGTTGTTTTCCCAGGTGCCTTCACTTCCAGCATATGTAAAGGATATCTGATCTCAGAAAGTGCATTCTTTGCTCGCCCTCAGTATTTTGAGCGGGCAGTTGCTGTAAGTAATTTTTCATTTTTGATAATAGTTCTAATCATATACCATAATGTACATTTCATTTACAGTAGGGCCCTTACTCATGACATTCTGACTTTGTGTTTCTCACTTATGACTTTGGCACCAATTACACCTACCATCCGACTTACGACCTGCTCGACTTACGACCACTCGACTTACGACCATGTTTTTTATGCCAAATTTCTGGGAAATAAACACCTATTTGTGTTGTACACAGTGTTTATCCTAAACCTTACAGTATAAAATACAGTACTAAAAACATAAAAGGTAAAGTAAAACATGAAATACCAAAAAAACAGTAAAATAAAGTCATTACAAAAATGTTTTGTTGATATTCAGTAGTAAAGTTCGACTTATGACCATTTCGACTTACGACCGGTTTCTCGGAACCGAACTTGGTCGTAAGTCAGATGGTAGGTGTAATTACTTATGAACACTGATCTGCAACTGTGATCTTTAATATAATAATAATATGCCTTAGACAGGGATGTGTAATGTCACCATGGTTGTTTAATATATTTATAGATGGGGTTGTGAAAGAAGTAAATGCTATGGTGTTGGGGAGAGGGGTGGGATTAAATTGTAAGGAATCAAGTACAAAATGGGAATTGACACAGTTACTTTTTGCTGATGATACTGTGCTTATGGGAGGTTCTAAAGAAAAGTTGCAAAGGTTAGTGGACGAGTTGGGGAGGGTGTGTAAAGGTAGAAAGTTGAAAGTGAACATAGTTAAGAGTAAGATGATGAGGGTAACAAACAATTTAGATAAAGGAAAATTGGATATCACATTGGAGGGAGGAAATGTGTGTGAATGTTTTCAGATATTTTGGAGTTGACGTGTTAGCAGATGGGTTTATGAAGGATGAGGTTAATCATAGAACTGATGAAGGAAAAAAGGTGAGTGGTGTGTTGAGGTATTTGTAGAGACAAAAAACGTTATCCATGGAGGCACAATAGGGAATGTATGAGAGTGTAGTGGTACCAACACTCTTATATGGGTGTGAAGCTTGGGTTGTAAATGCTACAGCGAGGAGGTGGCTGGAGGCAGTGGAGATGTCCTGTCTAAGGGCAATGTGTGGTGTAAATATTATGCAGAAAATTCGGAGTGTGGAAATTAGGAGAAGGTGTGGAGTTAATAAAAGTATTAGCCAGATGGCTGAAGAGGGGTTGTTGAGGTGGTTTGGTCATTTAGAGAGAATGGATGAAAGTAGAATGACTTGGAGAGCGTGTAAATCTGTAGGGGAAGGGAGGCGGGGTAGGGGTCGTCCTCAAAAAGGTTGGAGGTAGGGGGTAAAGTAGGTTTTGCGGGCGAGGGGCTTGGACTTCCAGCAAGTGTGTGTGAGCGTGTTAGATAGGAGTGAATGGAGACGAATGGTTTTTGGGACCTGACGAGCTATTGGAGTGTGAGCAGGGTAATATTTAGTGAAGGGATTCAGGAAAACTGGTTATTTAACCAGACTTGAGTATGTACTTGAAATGAGAAGTACAATGCCTGCAGTTTAAAGGAGGGGTTTGGGATATTGGCAGTTTGGAGGTATATGTTATATATCTTTATATATGCTTCTAAACTGTTGTATCTGAGTGCCTCTGCAAAGACAGTGATTATGTATAAGTGAGCTGAAAGTGTTGAATGATAATGAAAGTATTTTCTTTTTGGGGATTTTCTCTCTCTTTGGGTCACCCTGCCTCGGTGGGAGAAGGCCGACTTGTTAAAAAAAAAAATAATGATATAATATCTTTATTTACTACAAGTACTTACACTTAGGTCACACTACACATACATGTACACATTTATTTATACACACTCATCTGAGTTTTCTTTGATTTTATCTTAATAGTTCTTGGTCTTATTACTTTTCCTATTATATCCATGGGGAAGTGGAGTAAGAATCTTTCCTCCGTAAGCCATGCGTGTTGTAAAAGTCAACTAAAATGCCGGGAACAATGGGCTAGTAACCCCTTTTCCCGTAAAGATTACTAAAAAGAATAAGAAGAAGAAAATTGTCAAAGTGGGAAGTCTGAATGTGCGTGGATGTTGTGCAAATGATAAGAAAGAGATGATTGTGGATGTTATGAATAAGAAGAAACTGGATGTTCTGGCTTTAAGTGAAACAAAGCTGAAGGGGGTGGGAGAGTTTCAATGGAGAGGAATAAATGGGATTAGGTCAGGGGTTTCAAATAGAGTTAGAGCTAAAGAAGGAGTAGCAATAATGTTGAAGGATAAGCTATGGCAGGAAAAGAGGGACTACAAATGTATAAATTCAAGGATTATGTGGAGTAAAATAAAGATTGGATGTGAAAAGTGGGTTATAGTAAGCGTGTATGCACCTGGAGAAGAGAGAAATGTAGAGGAGAGAGAGAGATTCTGGGAAATGTTGAGTGAATGCGTGGGGAGTTTTGAATCAAGTGTGAGAGTAATGGTGGATGGGGATTTCAATGCTAAAGTGGGTAAAAATGTTATGGAGGGAGTAGTAGGTAAATTTGGGGTGCCAGGGGTAAATGTAAATGGGGAGCCTTTAATTGAGCTATGTGTAGAAAGAAATTTGGTAGTAAGTAATACATATTTTATGAAAAAGAGGATAAATAAATATACAAGGTATGATGTAGCACGTAATGAAAGTAGTTTATTAGATTATGTATTGGTGGATAAAAGGTTGATGGGTAGGCTCCAGGATGTACATGTTTATAGAGGGGCAACTGATATATCGGATCATTATTTAGTTGTAGCTACAGTTAGAGTAAGAGGTAGATGGGAAAAGAGGAAGGTGGCAACAACAAGTAAGAGGGAGGTGAAAGTGTATAAACTAAGGGAGGAGGAAGTTCGGGCGAGATATAAGCGACTATTGGCAGAAAGGTGGGCTAGTGCAAAGATGAGTAGTTGGGGGGTTGAAGAGGGTTGGAATAGTTTTAAAAATGCAGTATTAGAATGTGGGGCAGAAGTTTGTGGTCATAGGAGGGTGGGGGCAGGAGGAAAGAGGAGTGATTGGTGGAATGAAGAAGTAAAGGGTGTGATAAAAGAGAAAAAGGTAGCTTACGAGAGGTTTTTACAAAGCAGAAGTGTTATAAGAAGAGCAGAGTATATGGAGAATAAAAGAAAGGTGAAGAGAGTGGTGAGAGAGTGCAAAAGGAGAGCAGATGAAAGAGTGGGAGAGGCACTGTCAAGAAATTTTAATGAAAATAAGAAAAAATTTTGGAGTGAGTTAAACAAGTTAAGAAAGCCTAGGGAAAGTATGGATTTGTCAGTTAAAAACAGAGTAGGGGAGTTAGTAGATGGGGAGAGGGAGGTATTAGGTAGATGGCGAGAATATTTTGAGGAACTTTTAAATGTTGAGGAAGAAAGGGAGGCGGTAATTTCATGCACTTACCAGGGAGGTATACCATCTTTTAGGAGTGAAGAAGAGCAGAATGTAAGTGTGGTGGAGGTACGTGAGGCATTACGTAGAATGAAAGGGGGTAAAGCAGCTGGAACTGATGGGATCATGACAGAAATGTTAAAAGCAGGGGGGATATAGTGTTGGAGTGGTTGGTACTTTTGTTTAATAAATGTATGAAAGAGGGGAAGGTACCTAGGGATTGGCAGAGAGCATGTATAGTCCCTTTATATAAAGGGAAAGGGGACAAAAGAGATTGTAAAAATTATAGAGGAATAAGTTTACTGAGTATACCAGTATTACAACCCAGGATTCCAAATGGCCTGTTATCCCGGGTGTAATGGGAACAAAATAAACACAGTAGAAAAAGTTTAGACTTATATTATCCTTCACCAATTTAGAACAGCAATATGTACACTATGTACAGTGATAAGTATAGTGCACTCCACGGTAAGCAAGGCAGAAATAGAAGCCACAAGATAGCAGACCGTGCTTCAACCAGCTCTAGAATGGGAATGACAAGGGCAGACAGGAGAGCGGTACCCACATAACCTCTGCAATTGCCAAAACCATCTTCTTATTGGCTAGAACCTGGTCACTAGTTGAACGACGGGGCCCCATCATCAACTCTTAGCAACCTGGTTCGCTGGTTGGGGGAGATAGCCTGTAAATGAGGGTGTGTACATGCGCCGAATAAAGGTTACGTACTCTTTGCATGCCACAACCAGGAAAAGTATATGGTAGGGTTATAATTGAAAGAATTAGAGGTAAGACAGAATGTAGAATTGCGGATGAGCAAGGAGGCTTCAGAGTGGGTAGGGGATGTGTAGATCAAGTGTTTACATTGAAGCATATATGTGAACAGTATTTAGATAAAGGTAGGGAAGTTTTTATTGCATTTATGGATTTAGAAAAGGCATATGATAGAGTGGATAGAGGAGCAATGTGGCAGATGTTGCAAGTACAGTGGACCCCCGCATACCGTTGGCATCACATAACGATTAATCCGCATACCGCTTGCTTTAATCGCAAAAATTTTGCCTCGCATACCACTTAAAAACCCGCTCACCGCTGTTCGTCCGAGACACGTCCAATGTGCGCCTTAGCCAGCCTCACATGTTCCGCCGGTGGCATTGTTTACCAGCCAGCCTCCGCGGTAGCATCCAAGCATACAATCGTAACATTTCGTATTATTACAGTGTTTTTGGTGATTTTATCTGGAAAATAAGTGACCAGGGGCCCCAAGAAAGCTTCTAGTGCCAACCCTACAGCAATAAGGGAGAGAATTACTATAGAGATGAAGAAAAAGATCATTGATAAGTATGAAAGTGGAGTGCGTGTCTCCGAGCTGGCCAGGTTGTATAATAAACCCCAATCAACCATCGCTACTATTGGTGGTACAGCTGCTGCTGCTGCACTGTCAGCTGCTGCTGCTGCTGTAGCATCGTCTGCTGCTGCTGTAGCATCGTCTGCTGCTGCTGTAGCATCGTCTGCTGCTGCTGTAGCATCGTCTGCTGCTGCTGTAGCATCGTCTGCTACTGCTGTAGCACTGTCAGCTGCTGCTGCTGCTGTAGCATCGTCTGCTGCTGCTGCTGCTGTAGCATCGTCTGCTGCTGCTGTAGCATCGTCTGCTGCTACTGTAGCACTGTCAGCTGCTGCTGCTGCTGCTGCTGCTGTAGCACTGTTGTTGGTGTGGCTTATTGAGAATACCAAGAAACAATTAATCCCAGAGGATTTGCCACCCAGGATAACCCAAAAAAGTCAGTGTCATCGAAGACTGTCTAACTTATTTCCATTGGGGTCCTTAATCTTGTCTCCCAGGATGCAACCCACACCAGTCGACTAACACCCAGGTGAACAGGGAAAAATGCCTGGAACTAGTGCTCATATTGGTGAATTTAAAGCCAGCAAAGGTTGGTTTGAGAGATTTAAGAATCGTAGTGACATACACAGTGTGATAAGGCCTGTTCTGGAAGAAAATACCAAACAGGACCTACAGTACTCAGGAGGAAAAGGCACTCCCAGGACACACTGTCTCATCAGTCATTGCTGCATCTTCAATAAAGGTAAGTGTCATTTATTCTTCATTTAGTAGACTAGTACATGCACAATATATACTGTGCATGTACTACTCTACTATTGTGCATGTATCCTTCTCTGTGTGTGTACGAAAATGTATATTTCACGTGGTAAAAAATTTTTTTTCATACTTTTGGGTGTCTTGCACGGATTAATTTGATTTCCATTATTTCTTATGGGGAAAATTCATTCGCATACCAATGAGCCCTCTTGCACGGATTAAAATCGGTATGCGGGGGTCCACTGTATATGGAATAGGTGGTAAGTTACTAAATGCTGTAAAGAGCTTTTATGAGGATAGTGAGGCTCAGGTTAGGGTATGTAGAAGAGAGGGAGAATACTTCCCGGTAAAAGTAGGTCTTAGACAGGGATGTGTAATGTCACCTTAGTTGTTTAATATATTTATAGATGGGGTTGTAAAAGAAGTAAATGCTAGGGTGTTCGGGAGAGGGGTGGGATTAAATTTTGGGGAATCAAATTCAAAATGGGAATTGACACAGTTACTTTTTGCTGATGATACTGTGCTTTTGGGAGATTCTAAAGAAAAATTGCAAAGGTTAGTGGATGAGTTTGAGAATGTGTGTAAAGGTAGAAAGTTGAAAGTGAACATAGAAAAGAGTAAGATGGTGAGGATTTCAAATGATTTAGATAAAGAAAAATTGGATATCAAATTGGGGAGGAGGAGTATGGAAGAAGTGAATGTTTTCAGATACTTGGGAGTTGACGTGTCGGCGGATGGATTTATGAAGGATGAGGTTAATCATAGAATTGATGAGGGAAAAAAGGTGAGTGGTGCGTTGAGGTATATGTGGAGTCAAAAAACGTTATCTATGGAGACAAAGAAGGGAATGTATGAAAGTATAGTAGTACCAACACTCTTATATGGGTGTGAAGCTTGGGTGGTAAATGCAGCAGCGAGGAGACGGTTGGAGGCAGTGGAGATGTCCTGTTTAAGGGCAATGTGGTGTAAATATTATGCAGAAAATTCAGAGTGTGGAAATTAGGAGAAGGTGTGGAGTTAATAAAAGTATTAGTCAGAGGGCAGAAGAGGGGCTGTTGAGGTGGTTTGGTCATTTAGAGAGAATGGATCAAAGTAGAATGACATGGAAAGCATATAAATCTATAGGGGAAGGAAGGAGGGGTAAGGGTCGTCCTCGAAAGGGTTGGAGAGAGGGGGTAAAGGAGGTTTTGTGGGCAAGGGACTTGGACTTCCAGCAAGCGTGTGAGCATGTTAGATAGGAGTGAATGGAGACAAATGGTACTTGGGACCTGACGATCTGTTGGAGTGTGAGCAGGGTAATATTTAGTGAAGGGATTCAGGGAAACCGGCTATTTTCATATAGTCGGACTTGAGTCCTGGAAATGGGAAGTACAATGCCTGCACTTTAAAGGAGGGGTTTGGGATATTGGCAGTTTGGAGGGATATGTTGTGTATCTTTATATGTGTATGCTTCTAAACTGTTGTATTCTGAGCACCTCTGCAAAAACAGTGATTATGTGTGAGTGTGGTGAAAGTGTTGAATGATGATGAAAGTATTTTCTTTTTGGGGATTTTCTTTCTTTTTTGGGTCACCCTGCCTCGGTGGGAGACGACCGACTTGTTGAAAAAAAAAAAATTAATCCGTTCCAGACACCCAAAAATATTAAAATAAATTTTTTTTTTTCAAATTAAATAAAGATTTACATAATGAAAACAATCAGAAATCAAGTACATGCATTTAAAAAAATAATAATAACATTACACTTGCCTTTACTGAAGACTTCTGCATGGATGGAAGATGGGAGGAGGGGATAGGAAGAAGGTGTGGTCTATTGTTTGGAAGGAGAATCTCCTTCCATTAGGACTTTAGGTAGCAAGTCCTTATCTGGGGTTACTTCCCTTCTTCTTTAATGCCACTGGGAACAACTTGAGAGTCACTGGACCCCTGTCGCACACAATATCTGTCCAGAGAGGTCTTTTTCTGGCGTTTCTTTAAGATTTCCCTGAAGTGGGACACAACACTGTCACTGTACATGTTGCAGATATGGCTTGTTTCAGCTTGGTCAGGGTGATACTTTTCAACAAAACTTTGCAACTCATTCCATATTCCACACATGTCCTTAATCACTGAAGAAGGCACATCATCCACTCCCTCTTCCTCCTCCTCTGAAGCAAGTTCCTCGGCTGTGGTCTGATGCTGTTCCAGTTGAAGCTCTTGCAGTTCGTCAGTGGTTAGCTCTTCCCTGTGGTCCTCCACCAACTCTTTCACATCCCCGTCACTCACTTTATTTACTAAAGGGCTTGCACTAGCTTTCCTTGGGTCCATGATGACTTATTTAGCAGTTGCAAGCACAAAAAACAATGGATTATTATGAAATGTATTGTATGAACCCGCGGGGTGATGGTCACGTGTTGGTAAACAATGGCACATTGAGCGTGAATGGCGTGGGAGACTGTCTTGGTGTGTGCGGTGACAGGTGGACGGGTACCGGATGGTCGCCGAAACACGAGTCTTTTCACGAAACTCGAGGCCAAATTTCTCCAAAAAAAACTCGCCGAAGGTCGAATTTCATGAAAGTCGAGGCTTCCGAAACTCGGGGGTCCACTGTATTTACTTTTTGGGTCGCCCTACCTTGGTGGGAGACGGCTTATGTTGCAAAAAAAAAAATATTATTCTAATCCTAGGTTAAGAAAATAACCAGGGCACCTTTCACTAAACAAAACAGATCATAATCAAATTGAATGTAAATAAGACTTAGGAGTTTTTTTTAGCAGAAATCTAAAGCCAAGACTGTAATGTATAAGTGTTTGCAATAAAGCTAATGGACTTTGACACAATGTTGCCTCAATTTCATGCACAGTCCAGATATTTTTCCTATCTGTAAGGTGTCTTCTACTGATGTTGTCTTCACCTGTTAGAAGTGACATATCTTGTGTAGAACTCCGCACCAGAGATGCTTAAAGTGAAAAATTGCGGAACAAAAAGAATAGTATCAAAGCATATTTTAGCATGTACCATTATTGCATGATTACATTATATTTTTCTTTTCAGTCCTTCAAAGCACTTCATGACTGCTGTGAGCCATCAATGTTCTCGCTGGACCGTTTAGTACTGTCAGTTGTCAGTGATCCTCGAGCGACATTAGATGGCCTCTTGCGGGCTAGACAACTTGTGCTCCAAGTTGTAGAAAAGGAAAAGAGATTAAGAGCTCAACTTGCTGAGATTGGTAACTATGTGCTTATTATTTTGTTTTAGAGGTACAGGATAGATAAATTCTCTGGAATTTAGATCAGCAAACAGGAGCTTGCATTTAAAATCACCATTTACTATTCATCTTTGATTGTGATAAATAGCCTGATTGCACGTTTAGCATGTTGGACGAGTACTAAAGTGTGTGTAAAACAAAGATGATGGAGGTGAACACAAAAAAAAAAAGAACTTGAGAGAGAAAACAAGAAAGCATGAGATGATGAAAGTAAATTGAAATCTAAGAAATGAAAGCTTAGATGTCAGATTGGAAGGAAGAAGTATGAAGTGGATGTATCTAGATACTTGGAAATGGATATGTCATTAGTGTATATATGAAAGCTTATTTTTTCTTGTAGCTCTTGGTGTCATGGTAGTCCACTATTCTCCGAAAATTTGCCAGCTGGGTCATGTCATCTTCTCCTATTTAATGTTAAGAATATGTAATGTTAAGAATTAATCTAAGTCTGCTCGAAATGCCTAGCCATGCTAAGTGTCCTAGTGGCCCCCTCTGTAATTAGTATTTTATAACATGTAAACCACACAACACCCAAAACCTGTAAACCCCACATTGTAACCCTTATAGAGAATAAACTTGAATTGAATTGAGCTGAATTGAATTGCTTTTATGATGCTTTCAAGATATTTGTCCTTCAGAGCTTGCGCCGTGGCGTGGTGGTCAGCGTCAAGGTAGCGTGGCAGACAGGGTTAAGGTAGCGTGGTGGTCAGGGTCATGGTAAAGTGAATCACACAATAGATAAGTGAAGCAAAGTACAATAGCAGAATTGCTGATGAATCAGTGGAGAGAAAAAAGTTTGGAAATAGTTTCTAAAAAGGCAAATATATCAGCATACAATGGTGTCAAGTCTTATATGTATGGTACCACTATACTCTCATACATTTTCCTCTTTGCTTCCATGGATAACGTTCTTTGTCTCCATAGACTTTTCAGTGCTCCAGTCATCTTTTTCCCCTAATCATTTCTTTGATTCACCTCATCTTTCATAGACCCATCTGCTAACAAGTCCACTCCCAACTATTTGAGTACATTCACTTCTCCATACTCCCTCCCTCCAATCTGATATCCATTCTTTCATTACCTAAATTTCCTTATTTTACATACACTTCCAAACTCTTTCACCAACCTCTGCAACTTCTCTTCAGAATTTCCCAAAAGCACAGTGTCATCATCAAAAGCCAACTGTGACAACTCCCACTTTGTGTTAGTTTCTTTATCTCATGATCCCACACCTCTTGCCAACACCTGAGCATTCACTTCTCTTACAGCCCCATCTATCAGTTTACTGAACAACCATGGTGACATTACGCTTCCTTGTAAGGCCTACTTTTACTGGAAAATAATCACCCTGTCTCCTACACACACTAACCTGAGCCTCACTATCTTCGTAAAAACTCTTCACTGCTTCCAGTAACCTACCACCTATTTGATCCATTCACAGCATCTGCCATATTGCTCTCCTATCCACCCTATCATATGCCTCTTCCAAATCCATAAATGCAACGACAACCTCTTTGCTTTTGTCTAAAGGCTGTTCACCTGTATGCAAAATTCTAAACACTTGGTCTACACACCCACTACCCTTCCTGAAGCCTCCTTGTTCATCTGCAATCCTGCTCTCCATCTTACTCTTAATTTTTTCAATAATAACTTTACCATACACTTTACCAGGTATACTCAACAGGCTTTTTTTTTTTTTTTTTTTTTTACATATCAGTCATTTCCCACCAAAAGGCTTATTCTGCTATAAATTTTACACTCTCTCTTGTCCCATTTGCTTTTAAACAAAGGAACTATGCATGCTCTCTGCCAGTCCCTAGGTACCTTCCCCTCTTCCATACATTTATTAAAAAAAAAAGCACCAACCATTCCAAAATTATATCCCCACCTGCTTTTAACATTTCTGTCTTTATCCCATCAATCCCAGCTGCTTTACCTCTCTTTCATTCTACCCACTGCTTCACACACCTTCCCCGCACTCACAGTTGGCTCTTCCTCATTCCTACAGGATGTTATACCTCCCTGCCCAATGCACAAAATCACAGCTTCCCTGTCTTCATCAACATTTAACAGTTCCTCAAAATATTCCTTCCATCTTTCCGATACCTCCAACTTCCCATCTAATAACTCTCCTCTCCTGTTTTTAACTGTCAAATCCATTCGTTCAGAAAATAAGGAGTGAAAAAATTAGAATACAATATGGTGGTATGAAAGATATAATTAAGGGAGCAGAGATACAGTTGTTGAGATGAAATAATTTAGAATGGGTGGAGCAAAATGGATTGACCAAGAGGGTTGTGTAAATCAGGAGTAGACAAGAGAAAGTGCAGGAAGTATCACAGGATTTGTTGGAGGGAGAGTGTGTGAGATAAGTTTAGTCAAATAGGGACTTGAGCATCCAGAATTATGCATCATGTTAGATTAAAGTGGGTAGAAAAAAGTGGTTTTTGAGATTTGAAGCCAGAAGTGTACAGACATCGCAATTCAAATGACCCTTCAAACTGTAACATCCCCACCCCTCCTCCATGCTTCCCTGAATTCCTTCATAAATGTTACTTTGATTACTTTGATCACACATGCCTGCTGAATGCTCAAGCCACTACCCCATAAAAGCTTTACAACCTTCCTCCAACCTATTCTGAGACAACCCCTGCCCCTCCTTCATGACGTGCGAAAATTATGCAGCATATTGGTCATCTTATGCTGCACCATCCTCTCTGAACGCTCAGACTCCCTCTATAATTCTCCTCTGCCCTCTGAATAATGCCTTTCATAACCCCACTCTCTTCTAATCTTTAAACTTCAAATTCTTTGCATAATAAACAAATCACAAAGCTGGGGAGGCTCGAACCCATGGCAGGGTAGTACTAAAACAGCCAGGCCATTGCGCTATCCACTGGTCTGGCTGTTTTTAGGGTTTCCCTACCACGGGTTTGAGCCCCACCTGTACTGTCATTTGTTTGCAATTGTGTTATTACAGTTTGTGAGTCATGACAGTGGCTTTGAAGGGACTTCAGCTAGAGCACACCTCAGCCTTGCTGGTGTAGGATTCGTCTGTAAAAACCTACATTTGTGGGGTCCATGCTAACCTCTATGGTGAATAGAAGTATACCAGGTTGCAGGAATCCTATTAGAGCCAGCTGCCCCAGTGGTTAATGCACTGGCCTGTGAGTTTTAATACTCTCCTGCCATGGGTTCGATCCCAACCCGTTTTGTGATTTGTGTGGATTCATATTATTATGATTTCATGAGTCATTCTTTGCATAATATTCACATAACTCATTGTTTTCAAGCAGAATATCTCCACTACCTCCAGTCCAACATCCTCACTGTGATGTTTATACCCTATACCTCACACAGCATATAAAAGGGTTGGTACCACTGTACTCTGGTACATTCCTCATTTTACCTTCTTACATTAATGTCTTTCTATCCACAGATACCTCGACACTCCATTTACCTGTTTCCCTGAAAATCTATCTGTAGTTCATCTTGGCTTTCATAGCCCCATCTGCTGATATGTCCATTCCCAAATATAATCTGTATATAATACATTTGCTGTAGTTAGTTTTCTTTCATTTTTAGGTTTAGAAGCAAGTGAAAGATTATCGACTCCTGATTCTCATAGAAAAAAGAAGAGCCGATTTATTGAAGATGAGGAAGAAAATGTGTGTGAAATGTGTCGACAGAATCTTTATGTATCTTTGGTAAGTTGAATATTACTTTTAATAAAAATTCATGTACTACATATTGGAACGTGTACTATATATATACATGTCTGCTCCTGGCCTTATGAAAATTGGTCACCAATTTGCACACAAAAATAATATACAGTAGGGCCCCACTTATACGGCGGGTTAGGTTCCAGGCTGTCGCCGGAAAGCAGACATCGCCGGAAAGCAGAACTCCATTTTTTTCCGTTTATAAATGCATATAAATGCCAGACAACAAGTTTACACTAAATTATATTAAGTTAGTAATAGAACTAGGCATTAAAAACACACAAAGTAAAATACAGTCACAGTGAATTCATTACTTATCTTAAAGTTTTTGTAATCTTAATGTAGGGAGAGAGGTGAGTAGTACTTATTTGTAGGAAGTCAGGTGTAGGTAGCCCAGATGTAGGTAGCACTGGCTCCCCATCTCATACTTAATATACGATATTTAAAACATCCCAGAGAGGTAAAATGCACATGCAGTACACTCAATATTTACCTTAAAATATTTTTTTTTTTTTTTTTTTTTATTATCACACTGGCCAATTCCCACCAAGGCAGGGTGGCCTGAAAAAGAAAAACTTTCACCATCATTCACTCCATCACTGTCTTGCCAGAAGGGTGCTTTACACTACAGTTTTTAAACTGCAACATTAACACCCCTCCTTCAGAGTGCAGGCACTGTACTTCCCATCTCCAGGACTCAAGTCCGGCCTGCCGGTTTCCCTGAACCCCTTCATAAATGTTACTTTGCTCACACTCCAACAGCACGTCAAGTATTAAAAACCATTTGTCTCCATTCACTCCTATCAAACACGCTCACGCATGCCTGCTGGAAGTCCAAGCCCCTCGCACACAAAACTTCCTTTACCCCCTCCCTCCAACCTTTCCTAGGCCGACCCCTACCCCGCCTTCCTTCCACTACAGACTGATACACTCTTGAAGTCACTCTGTTTCGCTCCATTCTCTCTACATGTCCGAACCACCTTAACAACCCTTCCTCAGCCCTCTGGACAACAGTTTTGGTAATCCCGCACCTCCTCCTAACTTCCAAACTACGAATTCTCTGCATTATATTCACACCACACATTGCCCTCAGACATGACATCTCCACTGCCTCCAGTCTTCTCCTCGCTGCAACATTCATCACCCATGCTTCACACCCATATAAGAGCGTTGGTAAAACTATACTCTCATACATTCCCCTCTTTGCCTCCAAGGACAAAGTTCTTTGTCTCCACAGACTCCTAAGTGCACCACTCACCCTTTTCCCCTCATCAATTCTATGATTCACCTCATCTTTTATAGACCCATCCACTGACACGTCAACTCCCAAATATCTGAATACATTCACCTCCTCCATACTCTCTCCCTCCAATCTGATATCCAATCTTTCATCACCTAATCTTTTTGTTATCCTCATAACCTTACTCTTTCCTGTATTCACTTTTAATTTTCTTCTTTTGCACACCCTACCAAATTCATCCACCAATCTCTGCAACTTCTCTTCAGAATCTCCCAAGAGCACAGTGTCATCAGCAAAGAGCAACTGTGGCAACTCCCACCTTATGTTTGATTCTTTATCTTTTAACTCCACGCCTCTTGCCAAGACCCTCGCATTTACTTCTCTTACACCCCCATCTATAAATATATTAAACAACCACGGTGACATCACACATCCTTGTCTAAGGCCTACTTTTACTGGGAAATAATTTCCCTCTTTCCTACATACTCTAACTTGAGCCTCACTATCCTTGTAAAAACTCTTCACTGCTTTCAGTAACCTACCTCCTACACCATACACCTGCAACATCTGCCACATTGCCCCCCTATCCACCCTGTCATATGCCTTTTCCAAATCCATAAATGCCACAAAGACCTCTTTAGCCTTATCTAAATACTGTTCACTTATGTGTTTCACTGTAAACACCTGGTCCACACACCCCCTACCTTTCCTAAAGCCTCCTTGTTCATCTGCTATCCTATTCTCCGTCTTACTCTTAATTCTTTCAATAATAACTCTACCATACACTTTACCAGGTATACTCAACAGACTTATCCCCCTATAATTTTTGCACTCTCTTTTGTCCCCTTTGCCTTTATACAAAGGAACTATGCATGCTCTCTGCCAATCCCTAGGTACCTTACCCTCTTCCATGCATTTATTAAATAATTGCACCAACCACTCCAAACTATATCCCCACCTGCTTTTAACATTTCTATCTTTATCCCATCAATCCCGGCTGCCTTACCCCCTTTCATTTTACCTACTGCCTCACGAACTTCCCCCACACTCACAACTGGCTCTTCCTCACTCCTACAAGATGTTATTCCTCCTTGCCCTATACACGAAATCACAGCTTCCCTATCTTCATCAACATTTAACAATTCCTCAAAATATTCCCTCCATCTTCCCAATACCTCTAACTCTCCATTTAATAACTCTCCTCTCCTACTTTTTTTTCTTATTTTCAACAAAATTTGTTGATAACATCTCACCCACTCTCTCATTTGCTCTCTTTTTACATTGCTTCAACACTCTCTTAACCTCTCTCTTTTTCTCCATATACTCTTCCCTCCTTGCATCACTTCTACTTCGTAAAAACTTCTCATATGCTAACTTTTTCTCCCTTACTACTCTCTTTACATCATCATTCCACCAATCGCTCCTCTTCCCTCCCGCACCCACTTTCCTGTAACCACAAACTTCTGCTGAACACTCTAACACTACATTTTTAAACCTACCACATACCTCTTCGACCCCATTGCCTATGCTCTCATTAGCCCATCTATCCTCCAATAGCTGTTTATATCTTACCCTAACTGCCTCCTCTTTTAGTTTATAAACCTTCACCTCTCTCTTCCCTGATGCTTCTATTCTCCTTGTATCCCATCTACCTTTTACTCTCAGTGTAGCTACAACTAGAAAGTGGTCTGACATATCTGTGGCCCCTCTATAAACATGTACATCCTGAAGTCTACTCAACAGTCTTTTATCTACCAATACATAATCCAACAAACTACTGTCATTTTGCCCTACATCATATCTTGTATACTTATTTATCCTCTTTTTCTTAAAATATGTATTACCTATAACTAATCCCCTTTCTATACAAAGTTCAATCAAAGGGCTCCCATTATCATTTACACCTGGCACCCTAAACTTTCCTACCACACCCTCTCTAAAAGTTTCTCCTACTTTAGCATTCAGATCCCCTACCACAATTACTCTCTCACTTGGTTCAAAGGCTCCTATACATTCACTTAACATCTCCCAAAATCTCTCTCTCTCCTCTACATTCCTCTCTTCTCCAGGTGCATACACGCTTATTATGACCCACTTTTCGCATCCAACCTTTACTTTAATCCACATAATTCTTGAATTTACACATTCATATTCTCTTTTCTCCTTCCATAACTGATCCTTCAACATTACTGCTACCCCTTCCTTTGCTCTAACTCTCTCAGATACTCCAGATTTAATCCCATTTATTTCCCCCCACCGAAACTCCCCTACCCCCTTCAGCTTTGTTTCGCTTAGGGCCAGGACATCCAACTTCTTTTCATTCGTAACATCAGCAATCATCTGTTTCTTGTCATCCGCACTACATCCACACACATTCAAGCATCCCAGTTTTATAAAGTTTTTCTTCTTCTCTTTTTTAGTAAATGTCTACAGGAGAAGGGGTTACTAGCCCATTGCTCCCGGCATTTTAGTCGCCTCATACAACACGCATGGCTTACGGAGGAAAGATTCTTTTCTACTTCCCCGTGGACAATAGAAGAAATAAAGAAGAACAAGAGCTATTTAGAAAAAGGAGAAAAGCCTAGATGTATGTATATATATATATGCATGTACATGTCTGTGAAGTGTGACCAAAGTGTAGGTAGGAGTAGCAAGATATCCCTGTTATCTAGTGTGTTTATGAGACAGAAAAAGAAACTAGAAATCCTTCCATCATGCAAAACAGTTACAGATTTCTGTTTCACAGTCATCTGGCAGGACGGTAGTACTTCCCTGGGTGGTTGCTGTCTACCAACCTACTACCTATAAAATATGTGTAGTCTTAATATAGGAAGAGAGGTGAGTAGTATTTATTTGTATAAAGTCAGTGTAGGTAGCCGGTAGGTGTAGCCGGTAGGTATAGCCTGGGCTACACCTACCGGCTACCTACACTGTGGCCCAGAGCCATATTATTAACATCGACATGCCTTGTTCAATGAATTTAATCATTTCTAACAACTACCTTTGGATGCCATCATAAACGAAGGTAGAAGTAATGAATAATTCATGCCGAAAATTGTAAACAAAAGCGGAGTGGGGGAGTGGCTGGGCCAAACGCAGATTCATACACGTTTTCTCTGATGGCTGAGCAGAGAAAACGTAATGTTGTCCCTTCACCCAGCTCCACAAGTATTATTATCAGAGCATATAAAATATGCAATAAATGCCAGACAACAAGTTTACACTAACTTATATTAAGTTAGCAATAGAAATAGACATTAAAAACACAATAAAAGGCAAGATACACACAGAGTACACTTATTACTTACCTTAAAATATTAATATTAATGTGTGAGAGGTGAGTGGCAGGGTGTTTATTGAATAAAATCAAAATGGCACACCATCATCCTCTAACTCGGCACTTAAAGCAAGAGGCTTACGACTTTTCTTTTTATTACAGCTAACCTTAGACGCCATCGTCAATGAGAGCCAACTAGTTAACGAAAGGGTAAACGAGAGAGAGAACGAGATACAGATTTGAGGCAATGTAAGAACACAAACTGAACAGGTAGTGGACGATCACTTGGTCAGGCGAAATGCGTGTTAATATATGTCTACTTTTAGTTCATTCACGTCCATTTGTAAGAGTTTGTAAAACATTTACGTCAATATTTTTTTATTTTAATAATAATTACCTCACAATACAAATACTCTTACATTGTGTACAAGTTGTACAAGTTAGTTCAGAATAAACAAACAGCAACACCCCATTTTTAGAGTGAATGAAGATAATAATAATAATAATAATAATAATAATAATAATAATAATAATATTATTATTATTATTATTATTATTATTAATATTAATAATAATAATAATAATATTATTAATAATATTAATAATAATAATAATTATTATTATTATTATTATTATTATTATTATAAAAAGCACTAAACCCACAAGGATCGTGAATTGCTATACATAGAGTAAAGGCATACGAAAACAATATTTTTCTACAGTTACCCCCCAGTGTTTGACTAGAGAAAACGTAATTCTTCTGACACTACCTACACAGCTGCTTTGTAAACAAATCTCATATTTACATCAATTTTTATTCTGAGTGTATGTATCATGTTTATATGCTATGTAATGGGTTTTATATATAATTTTGAGGAAAATATCATAGATGGATTAATGAAAATGCCTATATTGATGTAAAATAAGACATTTAGTGTGCCCAAGAGTGATTATTATTACCTAGTATTGGCGTCATGAGTAGAGAGAGACTTAGCGATTTTAATGTGTGCCTGCACACATTACAAGAAATTTACATTTCAAATTAAAACTAAATATAATTCTTTATATTTAGTTTTAATTTGAAATGTAAATTTCTTGTGCAATAGCAAAAAAAAAATGTAATTCTTTATATTTAGTTTTAATTTGAAATGTAAATTTCTTGTACAATAGCAAAAAAAAAAAAAAAGCTTCAGTTTCAATTTAGGTATCTAAAAATTTCTGGCAGATTTTCTGTATAAAAAATTATTATTTTGAAATTATTATTTTGAAATAATCTTTGATATGCACATATTTTTTCTGAATAAGACATACAATTGTAAATATTAATTTAAAATTCTTTATATATTATTTTTGTGTGAAAATTTGTGACCAATTTGCACACAAAAATAATATATAAAGAATTTTAAATTACAGTACCTTATTACATAAAGATTACTTAGACTGATTAGGAACTAACTATAGGAAATAATCAGGTTTCCTCTTGAAGACAACTAAGGATCTGTTGGTAATTCCCTTTATGTATGAAGAAGGGTGTTGAAATGTCTTAGTCCCTTTACACTTACTGAGTTTCTCTTAGTGTTCTCATTACATCCCTGCTTTTCACTGGGGGTATTTTGCACTGTTTGCCAAGCCTTTTGCTTTAATAAAGAGTGATTTCAGTGTGCAGATTTTGGACTGATCCATACAGAATTTTCCAGATGCAAATTATGATGTTTCTCACCTATTTTCGAAAGTGCTTGATTGAATTTATTTAAGCAGTGAGCATTCTCTGTACATTCTCCAGATTTAGAAATTTGCCTTTCATAAAGGGGATGTTAGTAAACAACAATATTCCAGACTATTGAAAGCAAATGTACACTAAATATAATAATACCAACAGATGTACAGACTAGCATGTCAGATTTGACGTCTATCTTAGCACGTTAATGGTTCTGAGTGTCATCACACCTATGCTTCATTCCTGGACCATGCCTCCTGGTTAATGACGTGATCAGTCAGGCTGTTGTTGCTAGTAGCATGGAACTCAGTGTAGGCAGCACAGCCTGACCAATCAGCTGTGTAGAGAAACTTGTGTTCTTTTTAGGAAACAGGTAAGGGTCTGTACTTATAACTACAGTACATGGCTGGTGGAAGGAGAAAGTAACGTCATGTACTTACCACAGGACCTCATACTTAACCCTTAAACGGTCCAAACAGATCGACGTTCAAATTCGTAGTGCTACAAAAGTAGATCTACTTTCTTTTACATATTTTCAAATATAACAAAAAAAATGTAGATAAAAGTTTTTTTACACGTTTTCACATGTAAAACAAAAAAAAAAAGATCTACATTTTTTTACATACTTTCAGATGTTGAAAAAACGTATATATACGTTTGGACCATTTAAGGGTTAAACAGTTGAGAAGTTACTTTCTATTTGATCTCTGAGAATTGTACTTAAGCATTGGGAGGAGCAGAAAGGTAATAAAAGAAGAAACCAAGAAAACAGAAGGGAGGATGAGTAAAGAAAAAAGAAGGGAGAGAAGGAGTAGGTTAGTGATTGTGTTTGTCTTAGAATGGCCAGCCATAGGGTGATCACATTATCTCTGTTGACTGTGGCCATTGATAATTCTAAATAACAGTGTGTAGGCTGCTGGTTGGATGGGTATTTTATTTACTTTAATATGTACTTTATATTTATATACTGTAATGTTTACTTATAATTCCAGGTGACTAACTCCCAAGAAGAAGCTGTATATTGTCTTGATCATGCTCTTGTCTTTCTGAGCAAGAACCCAAGCCACTTGGAATTCTGCAAGCTTATGTACACATATAGTTTGGTAAGTCTATCAAGTCACTATTTTTGTTTAATATCATTCAGTATCATTAGTTCTCATTGTTATGTACAATATCTCTTGTAGATGGTACCAGGGGTCACTGGTTTTGGACCAGGTCTCTCAGCTTCATTATGATAAGCCATTTCACATTTTTACAGCAATTGAAAAAAAAAGTATTTCACATCATTTAGTAGAAATCATTTCCCTATAATTTAATACCATAGTGTTCAGTTATTGAGCATTAATAGTATTTTTTCTAAGAAAAAAAATTATAAAATTTTGTCCTACAGCTAGTGTCGTAACTTTCCAGACAGACTGTATGATTTTTCTAAATCCATAAGTGCAATGAAAAGTTCCTGACCTTTATCCATATATTGTTCACTTAGGTACTTCAGTGTAACACTTGGTCTGCACATCCTCTACCCTTCCTAAAGCCTCTTTGTTTCTCTGTAATCCTACTCTCTGTCTTGGCCATAATTCTTTCACTAATAACTATCATACACTTTACCTGGTATATTCAAAATGCTTTTTTTTTTTTAACAAGTCGGCCGTCTCCCACCGAGGCAGGGTGGCCCATAAAAGAAAATACTTTCACCATCATTCAACACTTTCACCTCGCTCACACACAATCACTGTCTTTGCAGAGGCACTCAGATACGACAGTTTAGAAGTCCCTCCAAACTGTCAATATCCCAGACTCCTCCTTTAAAGTGCAGGCTTTGTACTTCCCATTTCCTGGAGTCAAGTCTGGCTAAATCTTGAATAACCAGTTTCCCTGAATCCCTTCACTAAATATTACCCTGCTCACACTCCATCAGCTCATCAAGTCCCAAAAACCATTCGTCTCCATTAACTCCAATCTAACACGTTCGCACATGCTTGCTGGAAGTCCAAGCCCTTCACCCACAAAACATCCTTTACCCCCTCCCTCCAACCTTTTCGAGGATGACCCATACCCCTCCATCCTTTCACTACAGATTTATACATTCTCCAAATCATTCTACTTTGATCCATTATCTCTAAAGGACCAAACCACCTCAGTAACCCCTCTTCAGCCCTCTGACTAATACTTTTATTAACTCCACACCTCCTAATTTCCTCACTCCGAATTTTCTGCATAATATTCACACCACACATTGCCCTTAGACAGGACATCTCCACTGCCTCCAACCGCCTCCTCGCTGCAGCACACCCATATAAGAGTATTGGTTCCACTATACTTTCATACATTCGCTTCTTTGCCTCCATAGATAACATTTTTTGTCTCCACATATACCTCAATGCACCACTCGCCTTTTTTCCTTCATCAATTCTATGATTAACCTCATCCTTCATAAATCCATCCGCTGACACATCAATTCCCAAATATCTGGCTTTAGGTGAAACAAAGCTGAAGGGGGTGGGTGTTTCAGTGGAGAGGAATAAATGGGATTAGGTCAGGGGTTTCTATTAGAGTTAGAGCTAAAGAAGGAGTAACAATAATGTTGAAGGATAAGCTGTGGCAGGAAAAGAGGGACTATAAATGTATTCAAGGATTATGTGGAGTAAAATAAAGGATGGATGTGAAAAGTGGGTTATAGTAAGCGTATATACACCTGAGGAAGAGAGAAGTATAGAGGAGAGAGAGAGATTTTGGGTAATGTTAAGTAAATGCATGGGGAGTTTTGAACCAAGTTTGAGAGTACTTGTGGTTGGGGATTTTAATGCTAAAGTGGGCTAAAATGTTGTGGAGGGAGTAGTAGGTAAATTTGGGGTGCCAGGGGTAAATGAAAATGGTTAGCCTTTAATTGAGCTATGTGTAGAAAGAGGTTTGGTAATAAGTAATACATATTTCATGAAAAAGAGGATAAATAAATATACAAGGTATGACTAATCCAAAGGGGTTCTTTCAAGTGTATAGGACGAAGGTGAAGGAAAAAGTAGGACCTCTGAAATCTGGGAATGGACAGCTGACGGATAATGAACTGGAAATGTGTTCCTTATTTAATGACTATTTTTTGTCAGTTTTTACACAGGAAGATGTAAATGAGATTCCAGTAATTAACAATTATTTAGTTCCTGATGAATTCAAGTTAACTAATATTACTGTCACGAGGGACATGGTTATTAAACAGATAGACAAACTGAAACAAAATAAGTCCCCGGGACCCGATGAGTTGTTTTCAAGGGTACTTAAGGAATGCAAGATGGAGCTTAGTCAGCCATTAACGAGTGTATTCAATGCGTCCATCCTTACCAGTGTTGTGCCAGAGATGTGGAAGATGGCTAATGTGGTTCCTATATTCAAATCAGGGGATAAGTCCACTCCTTCAAATTACCGTCCAATAAGCCTGACATCTATAGTTGGCAAGTTATTAGAATCAATTATAGCTGACATTATCAGAAGTCACCTTGAAGAGCATAACTTGATAAATGAATCTCAGCATGGATTCACGAGAGGTCGTTCCTGCCTGACAAACTTACTGACGTTCTTCAATAGAACATTTGAGGCAGTTGACAGTGATAAGGAATATGATATTGTTTATTTGGATTTTAGTAAAGCCTTCGACAGAGTACCTCACAAGAGACTCTTAAAAGTGGCAGCTCATGGTATAGGAGGTAAAGTTCTAGCATGGATTGAGGCATGGCTTACCAATAGAAAGCAGAGAGTTACCATTAATGGAGTGAAATCTGAATGGGGATTAGTCACTAGTGGCGTTCCACAAGGATCAGTTTTAGGCCCTCTCTTGTTCATAATTTACATTAATGACCTTGATGAAGGGATTACTAGTGACATGAGTAAGTTTGCTGATGATACAAAGATAGGCCGTATAATTCACTCTGAGGAGGATATCAATAAACTCCAGGACGATTTGAACAAACTAATGTCTTGGTCTGAGAAATGGCAGATGAAGTTTAATGTGGATAAGTGTAAGGTACTTGCCCTTGGTAATGAAAATAACCCTCGAAGCTATAATCTAGGTGAAGTAGAGCTTGGTCATACAGAATGTGAAAAAGACTTGGGAGTCATGGTAAGCAGAAATCTAAAGCCAAGACATGCAGTGCCTCAGTGTGCGCAACAAGGCCAACAGATTACTTGGATTTATCTCAAGAAGTATAAGTAACAGAAGTCCAAAAGTTATTTTACAGCTCTATACATCACTAGTGAGGCCTCATTTAGATTATGCTGCTCAGTTTTGGTCCCCTTACTACAGGATGGACATAGACTCATTAGAGAACATACAGAGAAGAATGACTAAAATGATTTACTGTGTAAGGAACCTCCCGTATGAAGATAGACTTAAAGCCTTAAATCTCCACTCTCTGGAGAGGCGTAGAATGAGGGGAGATATCATTGAAGTGTATAAGTGGATGACGGGCTTAAACAAGGGAGACATTAATAAAGTACTGAGGGTGTCGAACCAGGTAAGAACCAGGAATAATGGATTTAAGTTGGATAAATTTAGATTTAGAAAGGACATAGGTAAGTACTGGTTTTCTAACAGAGTTGTAGATGCGTGGAACAGTCTTCCCAGTGGGGTGATAGAGGCTAGGACCTTGGGTAGCTTTAAGAAGAGACTGGACAAATATATGAGTGGGAGGGGCTGGGTTTGATTGGTGTTGGGGGGTGCGGGAGTTGTTTCTTGAGTAGCTTTAGGTAGATGTCGTTTTGATAAGGACCTGCCTCGTATGGGCCAGTAGGCCTTCTGCAGTGTTCCTACATTCTTATGTTCTTATAGCACGTAATGAAAGTAGTTTGTTAGATTATGTATTGGTGGATAAAAGGTTGATGGGTAGGCTCCAGGATGTACACGTTTATAGACGGGCAACTGATATATCAGATCATTATCTAGTTGTAGCTATAGTTAGAGTAAGACTTAGATGGGATAAGAGGAAAATGGCAGCAACAAGTAAGAGGGAGGTGAAAGTGTATAAACTAAGGGAGGAGGAAGTTTGGGTGAAATACAGTGGTCCCTCAATAATCGTCCGGCCTGAAAGTTGTCCATTTCGGAAATAGTCCTGTTTTTTCGTCAAAATATTGGCTCGCAAATGGTCTGGTAACTCGCTAATAGTCCTAATAGTCCTTCGTCCCGGACGCATACTCACGCTCTGAGCCGCCTCGGCCTTTCCTTCCCAGCCAGTGTGCCATTGTTTACCAGTGAGTGACGGTCCCCTCACATGCTCCTACGAAATATTTCATGATATTCCACTGATTTTAGTGCTTACAAGTGCTAAATAAGCTACCATGGCTCCAAATAAAGCTTCTAGTGCCAGCCCTTTGGTAAAGAATGTGAAAAACACATAATTTATGAAAAAGTTTGTAGAAAAATACAAAGATGGTGGTGGTAGAGTGGAAGCAGTTGTGATAGTGGTTGATGAACATAAGAACATAAGAAAGGAGAAGAAAGGAGGATCACTGCAGCAGGCCTGTTGGCCCATGCTCGGCAGGTCCTTTACAATTCATCCTACTAACGAAACATTTTCCCAACCCAGTCCTCAATGCTATCCAAGAAATAAGCTCTGATAACTCTGTCCGCTCATTTGCAAGTCCCAAATGCGTGGATAGAGTTATCAGAGCTTATTTCTTGGGTAGCATTGAGGACTGGGGTTGGGAAAATGTTTCGTTAGTGGGATGAATTGTAAAGGACCTGCCGAGCATGGGCCAACAGGCCTGCTGCAGTGATCCTCCTTTCTTATGTTCATCAACCACTCACTACTGCTTCCACTCTACCACCACCATCTTCGTATTTTTCTACAAACTTTTTCATAAATTATGTGTTTTCTCACATTCTTTACCAAAGGGCTGGCACTAAAAAGCTTTCTTTGGTGGTAGTGATGGTGGTAGAAGGTAGTAGTGATGGTGGTAGAAGGTAGCAGTGATGGTGGTAACAGTTGTAATAGTGGTAGAAGGTCATAGTGATGGTGGTAGTGGGTTCCTTCTTTAGTGATTCAGTGATTCTACCAATTCCTCCAATGTTGTTGGAGTTATATAGGGCTACAAAAACCACCGCCGACTCAGCTGC